AACGGGACTCAGTTGCGATCGCACCAGCTCGAAGGGTTGTTAAGATCCTTCGGGATCAAACACCAGACCGCTCCCGCCTACGCCCCACAGTGCAACCCGGTCGAGAGAGCCAACCGCACCATAAAAACTATGGTGGCGCAATACGTGGAGGGCCGGCACCGCCGCTGGGATGAGCACATCCCCCAGCTCCAGTTTGCTTTCAATACCGCGCGGCAAGAATCCACGGGATATACCCCGGCCTTCCTGATATACGGCCGGGAGCTACAGTCGCCGTACCCTGACGACCGACGTCCGGTAACCGCCAACGCCGCCCCCGGAGCAGTCCGACGCCGCCTCGAAGACGCCTACGAAATCGTCAGGATCAACCTGGCTCGCGCGTTCCAACACCAGCAGCGAAATTACGACTTGCGCAGGCGTGACTGGCGTCCAAAAATTGGGGACCGGGTGTGGAAGAAGGAACACCCGCTATCGAACAAAGAGCGGGGCTTTAATGCCAAGCTGGCACCAAGATTTGGTGGCCCGATGACGGTTGGCCGCATCATCTCCCCCGTCATCATGGACCTGAAGGACGACCGAGGTCGGTGGCACCGACATGTCCACGTCCGAGATTTGAAGCCAGCCTCAGAACCGCCGCCCGCGGACGAACCGTAGGAGGGCACTCCTCATGGCCCGCGCTCTTCCGCTACCCGTTCGCGATTTCCCGACCGAGCACCGAGAGCGGCACTCTTCATGGTCCGCGCTTTCTTTTCGCGTGGCTGTCCGGCCGAACACCGAGAGCGGCACTCGTCAGGGTCCGCGCTTTTTCGCTACACGTTCGCGAGCTCCCGACCGAGCACCGAGAGCGGCACTCGTCAGGGTCCGCGCTTTTTCGCTACCCGTTCGTGATTTCCCGACCGAGCACCGAGAGCGGCACTCTTCATGGTCCGCGCTTTTTTTCGTGTGGCTGTCCGGCCGAACACCGAGAGCGGCACTCTCCACGGTCCGCGCTATACTCCGGAGAGGTATAAAAGACGGGCGCTCTCAGCCCCGAGTCTATCCTCGCCACGATGGGAAGCCCAAAAGCTGACCAGTCTCAAGGAAACCAACCGTCCGTTTCCGGACGAAACAATCCGTCCGTTTCCGGACGAAACAACCCGTCCGTCTCCGGACGAACCAACCGGCCGGTGCCTCGGGTGGGGACCTACATCCAACGGTCCGACGTGGAACAACGGAGCCGGAAAATGGCGTTTCTCGCAGCACCTCCGCCACCCCCGAGCCACCGTCGACGACCACGGGTCCTCTCGGACTCGCCAGCCTCCGCCGTCATCACCATCGCCGCCGCCACCAAGCCTACAACGACACCGACCGACGCACGCCGCCCAGCCCGACCACCATCACGACCGACACCTCGATCAGACGCCGTGTGCCGATCGACCACGCGTCCACCGGCACCCTCCACCGCCGTGCCGCCGACCATCGCGCAACGACCGGCGCCCCCTACAGCGGTGGGCCAACCGCACCCCGTGCAGGTTACCCTGGGGAACGGACGAACGGTCGACGTTCCGTTTTACGCCGCCACCATCTCGCGGCGATATAAAGTGCGCACCCCGGACGGCCGCTGGATCATCCGATTCAATCGGCGTGGTCAGCCACGGATGATCCGCCGACTACCTCACCCCCCGTAAAAAGGGAGGGTGATGTGACGACCCGTTTTGTCGTCACTAGAAGCCGCGCAAGCACGAGGCCGACCGTCCGCCCGCGCTCATATAAACGGCCCCTGTCGGGGCCACCACACATCGAACACGTGGGAATTTGCCTTTTCGCCCCACCCGACCGGACCGCCCCACCCCAAGTTAGTTGGAGGGGGCTGACCGACGGGTATATAAAGCGGCGCAGCCGAGACTTCGGGACCAGTCCCGTCCTGGTCTCTTGAGCGTACTCAAGGACCACTCCTCACCTCCGAACATCACCCCGGCCGACGAGCGTTCTCGTCGGGTAGGCCGAGCGTCCTCGGTCACCGGATCCTCTCCGAACAGCACCCCGGTCGACGAGCGTTCTCGTCGGGCAGGCCGAGCATTCTCGGTCTCCGGATCCTCTCCGAACATCACCCCGGTCGACGAGCGTTCTCGTCGGGCAGGCCGAGCGTCCTCGGTCACCGGATCCTCTCCGAACATCACCCCGGCCGACGAGCGTTCTCGTCGGGTAGGCCGAGCGTCCTCGGTCACCGGATCCTCTCCGAACAGCACCCCGGTCGACGAGCGTTCTCGTCGGGCAGGCCGAGCATTCTCGGTCTCCGGATCCTCTCCGAACATCACCCCGGCCGACGAGCGTTCTCGTCGGGCAGGCCGAGCGTCCTCGGTCACCGGATCCTCTCCGAACAGCACCCCGGTCGACGAGCGTTCTCGTCGGGCAGGCCGAGCGTCCTCGGTCACCGGATCCTCTCCGAACAACACCCCGGTCGACGAGCGTTCTCGTCGGGCAGGCCGAGCATTCTCGGTCTCCGGATCCTCTCCGAACATCACCCCGGTCGACGAGCGTTCTCGTCGGGTAGGCCGAGCGTCCTCGGTCACCGGATCCTCTCCGAACAGCACCCCGGTCGACGAGCGTTCTCGTCGGGCAGGCCGAGCATTCTCGGTCTCCGGATCCTCTCCGAACATCGCCCCGGTCGACGAGCGTTCTCGTCGGGCAGGCCGAGCGTCCTCGGGCACCGGATCCACTCCAAACATCACCCCGGCCGACGAGCGTTCTCGTCGGGAAGGCCGAGTTTCCTCGGTCACCGGATCCTCCGAGAGCCACCGACATCTTGCGGAGCTCGCCCTTCTCAGGGCGCCCGAATCCAAGGCGGTTTACGGAGCTCGCCCTTTTTAGGGCGCTCGTATCCACGCCGCGTTGGGTAAATTTCGTCCGCCACGCTACTATCTTAGTTATAAGTCGTGTCCGCGTCCGTATGATTTGGTCGCGTTTCGTCCGTCGCGTTATTATTTGTAAACCTTTAGTTATAAGTCGTGCCCGCGTCCGTATGATTTGGTCGCGTTTCGTCCGTCGCGTTATCATTTGTAAACCTTAGTTATAAGACGTGTCCGCGTCCGTATGATTTGGTCGCGTTTCGTCCGTCGCGTTATTATTTGTAAACCTTAGTTATAAGTCGTGCCCGCGTCCGTATGATTTGGTCGCGTTTCGTCCGTCGCGTTATCATTTGTAAACCTTAGTTATAAGACGTGTCCGCGTCCGTATGATTTGGTCGCGTTTCGTCCGTCGCGTTATCATTTGTAAACCTTAGTTCCAAGGCGTGTCCATGTCCGTATGACTTGGTCACGCTTCGTCCGTTGCATTCCTTGTATTTCTTAGTTATAAATCGTGTCCGCGTCCGTATAAGTTGGTCGCGGTCCGCACTTCCTGCGATTCTCCTCTGTACGCGTAGACTAGATAATAAGCCAACTCTTGCAGGGCGGCTTCAATAAACTCTGTTTTTACCAGAACGATTGGCGTGGTTATTGCGAACCTGAGTCTCCCCCCTCTTCCCGAATCCTGGCACCGACGAGCCGATCCGTGGCGTCGGGAAAGGAGCCCCGTTACAACTGTTAACAGCTGTGTTTGTGCTACGCGTTCAGTAGTGAACTCGTTCGATTATCGCGTAGTGGTGCAAAAAAAAAAAACCTGTGTAAAATGGAATCCTTCGAAGAATTGATGCACGAACAGTCTACAAAAATGAGCTCAGTTATTCGTGCGATATCTAATTTTAAAAAGTTAGGTCAAGCCAAAATGACCTATGCAGTGACGAAAAATCGCATGGAAACATTAAAAAAAAAATTCGAACAGTGCTCAAAATTAGATGCCAAATTACACGCTTCCGCTGACTCCAAGGAGAAGACCACGCACCCCTACTTCTCAGATCACGAATTTGACGAGTGCGAAGAAGCCTACGAGACAGCGTTGGATTATTTCGCAGAGGTTGTACATGAACTCTCCAAATCATCAGCTCATCCTGCAGCTAACGTAAGTCATTTGCACGACTGTCAGTCTCATACGACACTCAACCTACCGAAGGTCACATTGCCGGTCTTCGATGGATCGTTCGACAAATGGGAGAGCTTCCGCGATCGTTTTCAATCGATGATTATAGAAGAAAAAAGCCTGTCTAACGTACAAAAATTGCATCATTTATTCTCGTGTCTAAAAGGCGAAGCGCTCACCGCGATCAAACATTTAACGATTACTTCTGATAATTTTGCTGTAGCGTGGACGATTCTTTCGTCCAATTTTGAAAACGAGCGTCGGCTAATCAATTCGTATATACATCGCTTATTTACACTGCCCAATGTCACGGCGAAATCGGCGACCGAACTTCGAGCTCTACAGAGCAAATTAACTGCCGCAATTGCCGCGTTAAAAAATTTGTCTCGTCCGGTCGAACACTGGAGCGATATTTTTGTTTATATTATCACACAAAGACTCGACAAATCCTCGCGCGAAGCGTGGGAATTGAAGTTAGGAAAAACAACCGTCTATCCTACGTTTGACGAAATTAGCGCGTTCTTGGATTCTCGTATTCGCGCTCTCAACGCCCTTGTACCGATCGCTTCGACACTCGATAAACAAAGCGATAAATCAAACGCGAAATTAAAACAAAGGGCTGTCACTTTGCATACAACAAGCGCCACGAAACTTTCGTGTCCCGTGTGCGAATCGAATCATTTGTTATATCAATGTACCGCGTTCCTCGGAAAACGCCGACTCAGCGATACGAAATTATTCGTAACGGCAAGCGTTGCCTTAATTGTCTCAGTTCGAAGCATCAAGCAAAAGAATGCCCGAGTACCCGCTCGTGTAAAGAATGTCACAAAAGGCATCACACGCTTTTACATTTTTTTGACGCTCCGAAATCAGCTGTTCAAGCGTCATCGTCTCCCGCGTCAACAAATCCCGTCATCTCGACAAGTGACGTTTCCTCGCATATCGTTGCGAAAGCTGTAACAGCGCGTCACATTCTCCTTGCAACTGCTCGCGTTCGCGTGCATTCAATGCACGGTCGATTCCAATGGGCCCGAGCGCTCATCGATCAAGGATCTGTGTCATCCTTTATAACCGAAAATTTAGTGCAGTCATTAAGACTTCCGAAATTAAATACCGCTGTTAGGGTAACAGGTATCGGCGAAACGCAGACAAGCGTTCGACATGCCGTTCATCTAACGATAACTCCCAGCAACGCGGACACTCCGGTTTATAGAACCACCGCGTTAATTTTAAAATCGTTAACTCGATATTTGCCAAACCGTCTCGACATTCCAGAGCAATGGCCGCATTTGAATGGCCTTTCGTTAGCTGATCCCGATCCCGCAGGATCAGATCCAATAGAAATAATTATCGGAGCGGATCTTTTCGGGTCACTCATCCTCGACGGCGTTCGAAAAGGCGCGGTTGACGAACCGATCGTTCAAAATACCGCGCTAGGCTGGATCATATCCGGACCTATAGCGCAACTCAGACCGCTCTCGCAGTCGTCCATTGGAGTACATCATTGCTCTGTTACGGATGATCTCAATCAAACTCTCCGCCGATTTTGGGAAATCGAAGAAATTCCCGCTTCATCGAAAATAACTAGTGAAGAAAAAGCATGCGACGACCATTTTAATTCGACACACTCTCGAAATTCTGAAGGTCGCTATATCGTCAGACTTCCATTTAAACACGGACCTCCACTCAACATTGGAGAATCTCGACATTCCGCGCTTCAGAGTTACCTTCGCACGGAAAGCCGCATTAAAACAGATTCATCGAAATCGTCGGAATATCATAATTTTTTAAAAGAATATTATGATCTGAGACACATGCAACGCGTCTCAGAAACCGAACAATTAATCGACTCGAATCAAATCGTATATATTCCGCACCATGCCGTATTCCGCGCTAACAGTTTAACAACGCGAATACGTATCGTTTTCAACGCTTCAAGTCGAACCTCAAACGGTACGTCATTGAATGATCATTTATATCCGGGCCCTAAACTTCAAAAGGACCTTGCTGCAGTGATTTTGCGTTGGCGCACATTTCGATACGTTTATTCCGCCGACGTGGCAAAAATGTATCGCCAAATTCAAGTCGATCCTCGCGATCGTGATTTCCAGCGCATCTTCTGGCGGCCATCTCCAACACATCAAGTTGAGGAGTATCGTCTCTGTACCGTAACGTACGGCATGACTTCAGCTCCGTACTTAGCTTTGAAGGTCATGAATCAACTCGCCATAGATGAAGGCGCTTCATTTCCATCAGCCACATCCGTTATCGATCGTCAAATGTACGTCGACGACTTTATCTTCGGCGCCGACGACAAGGTTCTCGCTCGTCAAACTCGCGAGCAGATTGTTTCTCTTCTCAAAAGAGGTGGATTCACGCTACGAAAATGGGCAAGCAACGTGTCCGAACTCCTTGACGAGATCGAAGATACCGACCACGGTCAAAGCCGAGATCTAAACGAAGATGAGAGCTTGAAAATTCTCGGTCTTACTTGGCAACCAGATCGCGACATCTTCAAATTTACCATTACGATTACAGGGCCTCCTGGCAACACCAAAAGAAGAATTTTATCCGACATCGCCAAATTCTTTGATCCACTTGGATGGGCAACTCCAGTGATTATTCGCGCCAAAATTTTGATGCAACGACTTTGGATCGCTAAATGTGATTGGGACGAAGTCGCTCCGCTGAATCTGCTTGAAGCCTGGCAGCAGTATCATACTCATCTTAAACAGCTAGAAGAGGTGATGATTCCACGTTGGATTCAACTCGGCCATCACGTACTGCATCTAGAGTTGCATGGATTCTCGGATGCATCTACCAAAGCATACGCTGCAGCGGTGTACATTCGCGTTGTCACGGTGGATGGAATGGTCTCGGTCAATCTTCTTGCCGCAAAATCAAAAGTCGCTCCTGTCAAAGTAATGAGTGTTCCGCGACTCGAGTTATCTGCAGCTCAATTACTCGCACGGCTCATTCATTTCATTCGCGAAGCTCTCGACTTTCGTGAGGTAAATGTTTATTGTTGGACCGATTCCACAATTACTCTTGCCTGGCTGAGCCGACCTTCTACTACATGGAAGACATTTATAGCGAATAGAGTAGCCGATATTCACACGCTACTTCCGGACATTCCATGGCGTCATGTCCCAACAAAGGAAAATCCTGCCGACTGCGCATCGCGCGGGATCTCTCCCGACGACCTTGCCACAAACCTTCAATGGTGGTCAGGTCCCGATTGGCTTATTAAATCTTCCGATTATTGGCCAAAATCTGACTCGGATTTCGATCCCCACGCGCTAAGCGAGCAACGCGCGCAACCACAATCGCTCACTACATCCGTTATCGCATCGTGGGACCTATCACAACGTTATTCGTCATGGCACAAACTCCTTCGAATAACTGCATACATCTATCGATTCGTAACGAATTCCCGCTCTCGACATATCAATCTCAATCTGAAGATACAAAACCCTAGAGCTCCGATCTACCTAAATCCGATTGAAATTAAGTCCGCTGAAATCTTTTGGATTCGTTACATTCAATCAGAATTGTTTCATAGCGAAATATCAGCACTCAGTACGGCAACTCCAATCAAGAAATCTAGCACACTGCTTTCATTAAATCCTTATCTCGATAATGATCAAATAATTCGAGTCGGTGGCAGGCTAAGGAACGCCACCTTACAAAGCGCCGTTCGCAATCCGATTGTCCTAAAGGACCATACCTTGGTCAGGATGATCATCATGGACACCCACCGACGAATGCTGCACGCTGGATCTCAATTAACATTAGCTCGGATTCGAGAGAAATTTTGGATTCTGCGAGCACGATCTCTGGTCCGCGCTGTACTCTACAAATGTGTATCATGTACACGAGAAAGGGCTCAGATTCCTACCGAGCTCATGGGCGATCTTCCGAATGTAAGAGTAAATCGCTCAGCTCGAGCATTCGAACATGCCGGTGTCGATTATGCCGGTCCAATTCTTATACGAACCTCTCGTGGACGAGGTCATAAAGCGCATAAAGCCTATATTGCCGTGTTCGTTTGTATGACGACAAAGGCGATCCATCTCGAGCTCGTTAGCGACTACTCGTCAGACGCTTTTCTCGCCACATTAAATCGTTTCGTTTCTCGTCGCGGATATCCTGCATCGATTTATTCGGATAATGGAACCACATTCCAAGGTGCCGATCGCGAACTTAAACTCGCAATCGCGCAGGCTTTAAAAAATTCGGATTTGCAAAATACGCTTTCGACCGACGGAATAAACTGGCATTTCGTGCCTCCTTCCGCTCCCCACTTCGGTGGATTATGGGAAGCTGCCGTACGCAGCGTCAAATACCATTTAAAGCGCTGTATCGGTTCACATACGCTCACATTTGAAGAATTAAATACCGTTCTTTGTCGTATCGAAGCGTGTCTTAACTCGAGACCTATTGGGTCTGTGTCCGAAAATCTCGATGATTATCATGTATTAACACCGGGACACTTCCTCATCGGAGGACCCATCTTAGCTGCGCCACAGCCAAGCGTTCTCGATCTTAACGAAACTCGTCTTTCCCGCTGGCAATTGTTGCAACATATTACAGAAAAATTTTGGAAATCATGGTCAAACGACTACTTATTAACGTTGCAGCAGCGGCCAAAATGGAAAATTGCGCAACGACTTGCGACTGTAGGCCGAATCGTTCTCTTGCGGAACGCACTTGCTCCTCCGTCTCACTGGGAGCTCGGACGTATCATCGAATGTCATCCCGGCAACGACGGACTCGTTCGCGTCGTTACCGTGCGCACCGCGCGTTCACAGTATAAGCGTCCAATTGTAAAATTATGTTTTCTTCCGATCGATATCAATACTTCAAGCGATCAAAGTTCCGCCATGGCGGGCGGCACCGATTCCGATTAGACTTAAGTAATAATGTTCAAAAATTATTGTACTGCACCATTTGTTGTAAAAAAAAAAAAACTTTCCATATTCGTATTGTAAGCGTTCTAGTCATAAATTGTAAGCGTTATAGTCTTTACTTCGAATAAAATCATTCGAGACGGGCGGTATGTTCCGGAACCGTTGAAAATAATTGAGAGTCTCCGCGAAAAGTTAAATGTCGCGCGATCAAATATATTGAGAACCATTCAATCGTCGCATTAGCGAATCACGAATTTCCACGCGACCGAGGCATAGCGCGTAGCCGATCCTTCTCACACCTCTTTGTAATTCGCATTCGCGGTCCCTTTTCGCCAACTCAAGTGCGCGGTGTATCGATTAGGATCTGTCGCGCACCCCCGTTTATGCCTATCTGAGTCGCTAATATCCTTCCTCGTTTCCCGTTCCTTCTTCTTGTTCCGGCTCTCAGTGTATTAACACATTGCCTCGTTATTGGAAATTCGTATCACGCGTTGTTCACATAATCCTTCGAGTTACGAAAGGGATTCTTTTCCGCCGGTCATCGGCAAAATTTGTAGAATATTGTGCAAGCGATATTTTCCATTATTTCAGTTTTATTTGTGAAATACATGCATAGTTCGGCTGCAATTACGACCGCATGTATCACCACGTGCTCCGACATTACAGTGTTCCGGAGACTCTCAGAGACCTCGATCTCGCGAACGGTGCATCGCGCATCCGCGTTCGGCTCTTGATCGCTGCGATCTTTGTAAAAATTATCGCGAGAAGATTTCCGTCGAGTACGCGCTCAGCAATTACGATCAAGCACAAGATGTCCGTCCGTTCTCGTTAAAATTGATTGTCCACCGTTCGTCAAGTGTGTCTAATTCGAACTCGAAACTTTAGTTTTTTTTTGTGAAAGATCGAATAAACATTTTTTTTTAACCATATTCTCAGCTGTTAACAATCAACCCATTCTTCCCTCTATTCCCGATCAAAATTAATTTAATCAGTGCATTCCGCAACACTCTTTTATATATTTGATGATATATGCATATTTTCATGTATTTTTCAAAGGAAATATACAATACCTATATATATATATATATATATATATATATATATACAGGTGGTTCAAAAGTCCGGCAACGGTTAATTATGTCCAAGAAATAGTGGTCTTATGAATAAAATATAAAAATTGCAGGGTTCAACCCGGGAAAAATTTTTTATATATAATTATATCTAAATAATTATATAATTATACATAATTATATGTGTGAAATATGTTCATTTTATATATAATTAAATTTATTTATATATAAATTATGAAGTTCATGTATAATCTCATGTCAAGTTATATATGAAACATTATATATATTTATATATGTGAATACTTATTTATTATATATACAATATATATATATATATATATATATATATAAATTTATATAAGTATATGTATATAAAAAGCTCTTTTATCTAATTATATATTGTTACGTCCCTGTTTTTTCATCCCCTGAATATCATCCTTGTGTCGTGGAGCTTCATCGTTAAGGGGGGTTGTTTATTGACAACCGCCCGGTGGTTGTTTTCAGGCTCCATGACAGTTTTGGTCTAGCTGTCATCTCGTACGGACGTGACTTGACCAGAGAGCAATCTTCTTTCTTTCGCGTGTACATTAGTCATTGTATTTCATCATTGTATAAAGGATCATTTCTTCATAAGAGAGTGTATTTATTTCGCGAGCCGCGAGTGAGTGAGAGTGTGTGCGAGAGACGTCTTTTGCGAGAAAGAACGTCCGGAGGACGTAACATTTTGGGGGCTCGTCCGGGATCGGATCGAAGGAATATCTCACCGCAGCGGAACGGAACGTCGAGAATGATACATTCCCCGAGGATTACCCGTTCACAAGCTCCGTCTCGAACGACTGGCAGCGAGGAATCAGGAGAGCAAACGGGCTCGTTACCGGAAGTCGCAGGAGAACCGGCGGTAACAGAATCTACAGCTCTTCGGGTTCTCCTTCTTGAAATGCGAGAGATGCGACAGGAACAGACTCGTCGAGAGGACGAAATTGCGGCAATGCTGCGTCGTCACGACAAGGAACTTCTAGCCTTGAAGGAGATTCATTCCCGACCACAAAATCTACAGCTAAGTCCTTCTAATAATAGAACGTGTGGAAATTCGGGTACGCAATTTTTAATGAGAGGGAGAACGATTTTCGCGCGATATAAGAGTACAAATTAAAACCTGATACTTATGACAGGACAGTATCACTTCGTGAATTTTTCTCGCAGTTTAACTTAATTGCTCAATATATATATTTTATAAATTAAACTTCGGCTCGTATACAATTAAAATATGTGATATAATAAAAGGCCAACTTAACGAGCTTATATGCTATTAATTGAAAAATTTATTTATTAATTTACGTCATACTATACAAAAGTTAAGATAAACGTTTCGACTGTACGACAGTCTTTTCAATATCCTAATAATATGTTAAAAAATTAATTTAGTCATATCGACCTTATTATAAATACAACAATTATGAGATTATATGACGAACGCAGTACAAAATTCATGTTTGTTGGCATGAGTTAGAGCGTCAGATGCTGTTATATTATGTAACGACACTGTGAACAAATTAATATATCCGCTCAAATATTACATTTAGATTTTTAATAAATAGTATTAACTTACTTTTTTGTCACGAACATAACACTTTTTTTAAAAAATTATTTCTTTTTACTTAACATAATCACAATGTGTACTTTTTTAAAAAACAAATCGATATCTGTATCTTACAATGTCGGCGCGCTGTATATATACCCAATTTTTAAGATGACGTAGACAATTTTTTTAGAATATCAAAATAAGAACCGTCAAGACGCTCGGTGTCCTTTTTTAGGTTGATACTGTTGTTTTCTTCTTTAATATATATCATTTCTGATATCAACCTTTTATAATAATTCTTTTCATAATCTAGGATTTTTGTGTCGTTCCAATTGAAATTGTGTGTAAATTTTACAATATGATCAGAAACCACCGAGTGCCTTGCTGAATCTAATCTAATATTATTTTTATGTTCATTTACTCTTGTACCTAATTGTCTTTTCGTCTGTCCTACATATGTAGCATCACAATTATTACACGAAATCTTATATATGACCCCGAATTATTTTGGAGCTTATCTCTGTCTTTTTGCGTTTTTATGACTCTGTTTAATTTCTTTAGACATCTGTATCCTACTGTTATATTTGATTTCTTTAATTCTGATGCTACTAGTTCCGAGATTCTTTCAATATAAGGTATCGCTATGAATTTTTTATTATTGTCATTATTTATGATTTCGTTATTTATATCTTGAGTCATTTCTTTGTTTAATCTATTAACAATAAGGAACTTCAGTCTATTATTGATTTCTGAGAAAATGAGATCAAGAGGATAACTATTGCTCAATAAAATCTCTATGATTAATGTTAAATTTTTACTATGAAAACGGGGATGTGATAATAATATTGACCGGTCTACTAAATTATATATTACACTTTTTTTGTGGCATATAGGATGATTTGAATGATATGAGAGTGTTCTACCCGAAAATGTTTTTTTCTGAAACCAATCTATGTATATTATGTTATTTATAATTTTGAGTGAGATATCTAAAAAACTTATGCTACGGTTATCCTCTCTTTCTATTGTGAATTTTAATCTATCGTGACAATCATTAAATTTTTCTACTAGATATGTGACTTGATCTTCCGGCAAGCAAAGCAAGATATCATCGACGTAGCGATAGTAAAACCTTATATTAACCTTTATAGTTTCAAGAATCCTAGTTTCTATATCTTGCATGACAATATCCGCAATAATTGGAGATAAAGGCGATCCCATAGGAGTTCCATGTATTTGTTTATAGATCGTTTCGTTGAATGTGAAGTACGTTGAAGTCAAAATGAATTTAATTACATTAACAAACTCATTTTTGTCTATTGATGTGTGGTTTTCAATGTAATGCCATCTATTATTTATGCTGTCTATTGCAAGGTCCACAGGAACATTTGTGAACAACGATATCACATCCAAAGATACGATTGTTTCATTATTATTTAATTTAAGATCAGACAATGCGTTGCACAATTCAAAACTATTGTTAACATGACTTTTCCCTTTGGGTAAACTTGTCACTAAAATGTTGTGTAAATATGCAGCTAAATGATGTAGTGCTGTATTGACCGACGATACTATTACTCTGAATGGAACATTTTCCTTGTGAATTTTGGGCAAGCCATATGCTTTAGGAAGCACTGAATCACTGGAACTTAAACAATAATAGTCTTTTTTGTGATCCATTCATTTTTTAACCATTGTTTTAAATTTTTGTTAAGGTCTTTTTCTATTTTTATTATTGGATTGTTTTTGATTGTCATATAATTATCTTTGTCATTTAATAATTCTTCAACTTTGTCTATATAAAATTCTTTGGTCATTGCTACGGTCGTGTTTCCCTTGTCTGCTCTTGTGAAAATGATGCTGGGATTTTGTTTACAAAATGTCATGTTTTTTTGTACATAAAAGTAAGTTTGTCATTAATTATGTCTTTCCTAGTATTGTTGTTTAAAAAACAAAGAACTGTGGAATAGCTATGTTTCTTATTGTCGTGAGATTAGTTATGTTATTCGAATTGCTTTCTATGTCTTTAATAAATTCATGGACAGCTGTTTTTTTATCAGTATTAATAGGAAGGCTAAAATCACTACCTAATTGCAATAAATTTGTGACATCAGTTGGAATATCTACATCAGTCAAATTAATAAACCATTTATCATTGGTTTGTTCTAATGGATTAATAGTTTTGTTTATAAAATTTGTTGCGTTAATGTGGTTATTAATATATTTATTATTTTGAGAGTTTACACTATTTTTCTCTGAACAAGAAAAAACTATGGGTTTAATATTATTATAGTAATCCGATTCTTTTTTTGCAATAACCAACAGAATTTTTCTTATGTAAGTAATGT